ATGCCGTGAAGAAGAGGGAAGGGCAAATCCCCAAGACAAAGAGTATTGACAGTTGTTGGGAATTCTGTAAGGTCCCAAAAACAGGGTCAGCTAGCCATAAACAGCTAGCATTTGCAAGTGACTGCTGTACTGCCTGGTAGCATGAATGGGTAAGTTCTGGCATCTGCTGTGCCCAATTGCTCCATTCATTGGAAACCAGGTGTACAGGCTGAGCTGCTCAAAACACACAGTTCCTCACATGGGGCACGAAACTTGTAACCAGCTAAAATCCACTGCTTGCCACTCAAAGGCTGAAAACACAAGTGACGTGTAGTGAAAGAAATGCAGTTTTATTAATTAAATGCAAGTAGTTGGGGAATGGCCAAGCTCACGCCTTAAAAGTCCAGTCTTACTTTTTGGGTTGACTGAGGGGGTTTAAGAAGGAAAACTTGGTGTGGGACATATGTGTGGGAGTGATACAGGAAAATGTAGATCTGTATGTCTTGTTCCAGTGGATATCTTGAGTAATTGCCCATCCAGAGAAATAGTTTGTGTCATCCAGATTTTGGCCCAATTAGTGGTGAACTAACTGTAACTCTTCCCTAAGTGAGAGGATTGTGCAGCTGGGTCTCTATGTCTGGGCTGTTTTATAATTAGCCCTGGAATTTCTAAGCAAACACATAATTAGATAAGCAAGCACTGTGCATGGAAGTACCTGGTGGGAAAAGGAAATTCAAAGAGTTTTAAAGTACAAGGCTACGTTCTGAGATTGGGAAGTGTATTAGCTTGTTTTCATGCTACTGATAAAGACATACCCCAGACTGGGTAATTTATACAGGAAAAAGGGTTTAATGGGCTTACAGTTTGACATGGCTGGGAGGCCTCACAATCATGGTGGAAGGCAAGGAGGAGCAAGTCACGTCTTACATGGATGACAGGCAAAGAGAGAGCTTGTGCAGGGATACTCCCCCTTTTTTTTGTTTTCTTTTCTTTTTTTTTTTTTTTTGAGATGGAGTCTCTGGATTACAGCAGGCAAAGAGTGCAGAACCCCCCACCTTTTTTTTTTTTTTTTTTTTTTTTTAGATGGAGTCTCGCTCTGTCACCCAGGCTAGAATGTAGTGTGCAATCTCGGCTCACTGCAACCTCCCCCTCCCAAGTTCAAGCAATTCTCCTGCCTCAGCCTCCTGAATAGCCAGGATTACAGGCACATGCCACCACTCCCGGCTAATGTTTGTATTTTTAATAGAGACAGGGTTTCACCATGTTGGTCCAGCTTGTCTCGAACTCCTGACCTCGTGATCTGCCTGCCACGGCCTCCCAAAGTGCTGGGATTACAGGCCTGAGCCACAGCACCTAGCCAAACTCCCCTTTTTAAAACCATCAGATCTTGTGAGACTTATTCACTATCATGAGAACAGCACAGGAAAGACCTGACCCCTTGGTTCAATTACCTCCCACCAGCTCCCTCCCACAACACATGGGAATTCAAGATGAGATCTGGGTGGGGACACAGCCAAACCATATCAGGAAGGAAAGGGAAAAAAGTTTTAAGATGCATTTGAAGACTGAGACACTTGGTTACAGATGTATGTAAATGGATGTTCACAGTTGCATTGTTGATAATAGCAAAATTTGCATTTATCAGTTGGACTGACAAAATATTTGATGACTTATCCATTCAGTGGAATATAGAGTGAAATGAGAGGAGGTAAATTTATAATTATTGACATTGGTAGTTACTCAGAATATGTTTAGGAAAGTGGGCAGAGACAGGATTTTGTATGAATGTGTATATATGTGTATGTGATGTGTGTATATATGTAAGTATGCATATGATCTTGTTACTTTAAAGGGGCTAGTGTAGTAATTTTTAACATTTTTGTAATGTTTTTTAAATGTTCTAAAACTTTTATTTTGAATTAATTCTAAACATTAAGAAAAGATGCAAGAAAAGTACAAAAGAATCCCACATATTCTTGGGGTCTCTAAGGTGACTGCAGTTAAACCTGTTCATTTCCACATCTACTGCCTGAACTGAGAGAACAACACAGCTTTGGTTCCTCAGGCATGTGACCTCTTCAGCGTGGTGACTTCACAGAAACTGGACATTACATGGTAACTCAAAGCTAGTATCCAGATAAAAGCCAGCACAAGTACTATGGCCTTTTCTAATCTAGCGTTGGAAGTTCCAACATTACTTCTGCCTCAGTTTGTTGAGACAGTGAAAAACCTATCCACAATCAAGGGGGTAGGAAAATAATCTGTAAACATATTTTAAGACCACTGTAGGTTGATACAGTAATGTTTCCTAACCTACAGAGTTTATTCAGTTTCCACAGTCATCCTATAATATTTACAGCATTTTCTATTTCAGGGTCCAATCTAAAATGCGTCATGCCCTGCATTTCATTGTCATGTTTCTTTAGTTTTTAACCTAGATCAGTTCCATAGTTATTTTTTCTTTCGTGAAATGAGCCTTTTTGAAGACAACAAGCTATTTTGTAGAACAACCTTAAATTTGAGTTTGAGTCCTCATGATTAGATTCAAGTTAAATGTTTGTAGATTGAGTATTGCATGAATAATGCATACTTCTCAGTGTATCACAATAGGAAACACATGATGTGTTTTGTTGGTGTTAGCATTGATAACTTGTATAAACTGGTGTCTCCCAGGTTTTTCCACTAAAAAATGGCTATTTTGGCTTTGAAATTGGTAAGCAATTTGCGGGAAGATCTTTGAGCCATTTGTGTGGAAAATCTCATCTTTCACCCACTAGTTTTAGTGTTCATTGATTATTCTTGTCTGAATCAATTATTATTGTGATGACTGCAAAATGATGACTTTCTGACTCTGTCATTCCTTCTATTTTTAGGAATTGGCATCCTACTGTTTGTTAGAAGAGGTTTTCCTTCCCCTACCCCCATATCTCTCTACCTGTCTGTCGTCCATATGAACCTTTGTTTTCTGGTACAATAATATATTAGGTTTATCTTGTATATTCCCTGTCCCAGCCACAGAGCTCTGATTGCTTTTAGTGGGGAATGATACTTAGAAACCAAGATCTGGGTGCTGTGCATACTAATCATTATTGGGATAATAGTCGTGTGTGTGTGTGTCTGTGCAAAATAATGATCCCTCTCATTTTAAATAAGTATTGCAGGATTCTTGCTAAGGTATTTTCCCATTCCATATTTACTTCTTTCTCTGAGAGTCAGAAATTGGCCCCCAGCATCATCAGTATGTTTACTCACCTGTTCAGTTCTCCAGTACATGGCAAGTAGTTTTGGAGTTGCCAAATAACATGAATGCACATAACAAACTTTGTTAGTGTTCATGATTTGTTTGCAGGTCTCTTTCTCTTTAGACCAAGTATATATAGATAAAATTATTCAGGCCAGGCGCAGTGGCTCATGCCTGTAATCCCAGCACTTTGAGAGGCCAAGGCAGGAGAATCGCTTGAGCTCAGGAGTTTCAGACTAATCTGGGCAACATGGTGAGACCGTCTTTACAAAAAATTGGCTGGGCATGTTGGTGCATGCCTGTAGTCCCTGGTACTCAGGAAGCTGAGGCAGATTGGTTGAGTCCAGCAGGTTGGGACTACAGTGAACTAAGATTGCACCACTGCACTCCAGCCTGGTCAACTGAGACCTGTCTCAAAAAAAAAAAAAAAAAAAAAAAAAAAAAAAATTAACAAAAGCCATAAAATCTCCTGCTGCAAATGACAGGATTTTATTATTTTAATGGCTGGACAATATTCCATTGTGTGTGTATATACCACATTTTCTTTCTCCTGTCATTTGTAGCTACATGGATGGAACCAGAGGATATTGTTAAGTGGAATCATCCAGGCATAGAAAGACACATTTTACATATTCTCATTCCTATATGGGAACTAAAAATATTGATCCCAAGGAGGAAGTGATTTAGAATGGTGGTTATCAGAGGTTGGGATGGACAGGGGTGAGGGAAAGATGGAGAGGTTAGTTAATGGGTACAAAAATATGATTAGATAAAACAGTGTCAGTAACACTAGAACTTATTTATTCTATCTAATCAATAACACAGTAGGGCAACTACAGTTAATAATTTATTGTATATTTCAAAATAAATAGAAGATTTAGAATGTTCGCAACACAAAGAAATGATAAATGTTTGAGGTGATGGATATCCCAATTACCATGATTTGATCATTATACATTGTGCACAAATCAAAATATCACATGCATCCCATAAATATATACAACTATTAATATATTAATAAAAACTATTTCAAGTGTTTATTTTTAGAAAAAAATACTAATTTTACTCTGGAAAAATGTATATACTTTAAAAGATTCTCCAGAAGGTTGATGCATGGTTCAAATGGCAAACCATAACCCACAGTACCTCTATGAATATTTATTTAGATATGATATATTTAGGAAAATGAAAAGTCTCTACATGACTAAGAGCAAAAAGAGGTTTAGAAAATAGCTGCTTTAGAAGTGCACAGAAAAGGGAGTGTGATACGAGAATGTTAACTGAGCATCTATTCTTTAAGTAAATTTCCTCAGTAGGTTGGAATGAACAAATATGGGAATCAACTCAACCAGAAGGGCAGAGGTGAGGGAATCACAGAAGAATTGACCCAGAGCCCTATTTCAACCAGACCTAGTCCTGTCCTACCTGTATTCTTTTTGTTGTTTGTTTTGTTTTGTTTGAGATGGAGTCTCACACCGGCTCCCTGGGCTGGAGTGCAATGGTGCCATCTTGGCTCACGGCAACCTCCGCCTCCTGGGTTCAAGCGATTCTCCTGCCTCAGACTCTTAAGTAGCTGGGATTACAGGCATCCGCCATCACACTCGACTAATTTTTGGATTTTTAGCAGAGATGGGGTTTCACCATGTTGACCAGGCTGGTCTCGAACTCCTGACCTCGTGATCCACCCGCCTCAGCCTCCCAAAGTGCTGGGATTACAGGCATAAGCTACCATGCCTAGCCTCTTCTTTTTAATTATGCATGCCAATAAATTTTGTTCCAGCTAGTTGGAGTGTGACTTTCTATTTCTCACAATTGAAAACATCTTGATTTAAACAACCATGAGCTCCAGCAGCCCACCCTAGTAATCTGGTGGTGACAAAGCAGAGCATTATTGGCCCTGTATTTCTTTTTTTGTTTTTATCTTTTTTATTTATTTTTTCTTTTTCATTTATTGGCCCTGTATTTCTGATGGTAGCATGAAACAAGATATCATGGAACTTAAGTACTCATTGTCCTGGAAGGTAAGGTTCAGGACAAAAAAAACCAGTGGGAAACTTTCTCCCACCTCCACTAAATATACACCTGAGTAAACCCTTCATCCAATTACTATGATTTGATCATTACACACTGCATAATGTGTAATGATGTCTGAGAAGTGTGGGGCGTTGTCCAAAATGCTGTGTCCTTAACAGGTTAGTCTGACATCTAAAATGCATGCTATATGATGTTCCCCTTTTTTGCAAAACCTTTCTCATGAAGCTTTATGGAACTAAAAACCAGTTGGGATTTTTTTCTTAATTCAGTCTGTTTCTATCACAAAAGCCCCCACCAAAGAAACATAGCACAGCTGTACACTGTGTGGAAAAAGTCTTAAATGATCAGATAGAAACTTTGGCCTGTTACTGCTTGAAAAATGAAGCCGAACTGAGGACAGAAGCCAATTGCTAAAATATTACTCAAATTGTAGACTGCATGGTTTTCTGTGTTTTAATTAAATGTCATTTCCTTGAATTTATTTTAAGACTTCTTGCAAGAATCCTTTTCCCAGTACAATTATAATGACGAATTGGGGCTGAGCTCACTAAAATGTTCAAATATATGTCCTATATATGATAGATTTTTCCTATCAAGTTAATTCCAGGGAAGCCACTATTTGTTAGGTACTGGTTCAAGGTCACGATTATACAGCAGCAAACAGTGTTCCTGCATGGAGCTTAGATTCTAGTGGACACAGATTTCGTCATGTCCCTCATTATACTTTTGCTAAAGTTCTGACCTTATCATTTTGAAGTCTTCACTCCTGCATATTGCTTATTGAATGTGAAGGTTCTGATTGAAATGTATTGTATCATTCTTTATAGGGTTTCTCTGTTTTGTGTTCTCTTGACAACTGTGACATTTTGAGCTCTGCTTGAAACTGGTCATATTCATACAAAAAATAGGTTTTCTTCAATGGAATTCAGATGACTATAAAAACTCAGCTCACTCATGAATTCTTAAAACATGACATTTCATAAATATTCTCTGCTGTGCGGATTTTCTAGGAAAATGAGAAGTCTAAGTCTTGAAGAGCACCTCTATCACACTCATCATGATTAATGGATTTATCACCATCATGGACTCTCTGATGAATCTGAAGACATGAACTCTTACTAAAGCCCTTACCACACACAAAACATTTGTATGGTTTCTCTCCAGTATGGACTCTCTGATGGGCTTGAAGATGTGAGGTCTGACTGAAGCTCTTACCACACATGCCACATTTATAGGGTTTCTCTCCCGTATGGATCCTCTGATGAACATGAAGATATGAGTTCCAGATGAAGCCTTTCCCACATTCTTCACATTTGTATGGTTTCTCTCCTGTGTGGACTCTCTGATGGGCTTGAAGATGTGAACTCCAACTGAAGCCTTTCCCACACACATCACATTTGTAGGGTTTCTCTCTAGTATGGACTCGCTGATGGTCCTGGAGATGCGAACTCTGGCTAAAGCCCTTCCCACATGTCTCACATTTGTATGGCTTCTCTCCTGTGTGAACTCTCTGATGGGCCTGAAGGTGAGAGATCTGACTGAAGTCCTTCCCACATGTGTCACATTTGTAGGGTTTCTCTCCTGTATGGACTCTCTGATGGGCCTGAAGGTGGGAATTACGGCTGAAGTTCTTATCACACACATCACATTTGTAGGGTTTCTCTCCAGTGTGGATTCTCTGATGGGCTTGAAGATTTGAGGCCTTACTGAAGCCCTTATCACATACCTCACATTTATATGGTTTCTCTCCAGTGTGAACTCTCTGATGAAGACCAGAATTCCTATTAAATATCCTGTCACTTACTTCCCATTTGTATGTCTTCTCTCTAGAGTGACCTCTCTGATGGGCTTGAAGTTGTGATGTCTGACTGAAGCCTTTATCATATACATCACATTTACAGGCTCTCTCCCCAGCACTATCTACACAGTGAGTGTCAAAATCTAAGCTATGATGGAAGCCCTTCCCACACCTGCCACATGTACACAACTTCTCTCCTGGGTGAGTAAGCTCATGAGAGGGAAGACAGGAGTTCTGGTTGAAGCTCTGGGCACATACCTGACATCTGTAGAGGTTCTCTCCTGTGTTGACTCTCTGATGAGGTTGCAGATGTGAGCCCTGACTGAAGCCCTCACCACTGTCACCATTCTGATAGCATTTCTCTCCTATGTGGACGCATTGATGCCTGGGAAGCCCTGAGCTGTAACCTATGCCCTTCCCATACTCGACACTTACATGAGGCTTGTCTTCTAAGTGTAGTTGCTGGTGAAGTTCAAGATGAGAGCCAACACTGAAGCCTTTTCCATTCTCATTAGAGGTTTGCTCTCCTGATTGGATTATGCTATGCTGGGATGATTCCTTCACACAGTCTTTTCCACAATTATTGTGGCTAAAAGCTTTCTCTCTTTTGTGTACTGCATGACCATCATGTTGATGAGCAATCCTTTGCCTAACACAATGATCACATTTACAGAGATTATTTTTTACATCAATTTGCTGACACCTACTCTGATAATTCTGTGGTTCTCTCAGATACATTTTCCTCCAGAAATCCCAGGTGGTCCTCATTGGAAGCTCTTGATTTTTGATGCTATTTGAACTCTCCCCTTGCCCCTTTATTGTATAGTTCTCATCTTCAGAGACCTGAATAGATTCTCCTGTCCACACCTGACAGAGGGAATCACCTTGTTTTAGCAACTTGGACATCTGACCTTGAAGATTTATTATGAAGTCTTGATTACTGGTTAATTTACTTGTAAATTGTTCCCATATTTGCCAGCATATAAGTTCTTCATATGAAAGGAATCTTAATCTTACTTCTTGAAGGGTATCTATCTCCTTTTGATTCCTGTGTCCTGGAATGATAAAGAGAACTCAGAAATGAAAATGAAGACAAGTGAATATTTGTTCAGAAATAAAAAACATTTCACAGGTTGGTCACATTGGGAAACCTTAATAAACTAGTGGAGAGAATTCAGCTTGACTTTATCATTGGTTTTTTTTTTTGAGACGGAGTCATGCTCTGTCGCCCAGGCTGGAGTGCAATGGTGTGATCTCGGCTCACTGCAAGCTCTGCCTCCTGGGTTCACGCCATTCTCCTGCCTTGGCCTCCTGAGTAGCTGGAACTGCAGGCAACCGCTACCACGCCCAGCTCTTTTTTTTTTTTTTTTATGTTTAGTAGAGATGGGGTTTCACTGTGTTAGCCACGATGGTCTCGATCTCCTGACTTCATGATCTGCCCACCTCGGCCTCCCAAAGTGCTGGGATTACAAGCCACCGTGCCCGGCCTATCATTGGTTTTTTTCATGCCTATGTGAACAAAAAAGGCTGGTTTCTATATATAAAATGTTAATGAGACTGATTTAGAGCTATACCAAGACTGTTTTGTTTTTGTTTGTTTTATTCTTTTTTTGGGACGGAGTCTCACTCTGTCACCCAGGCTGGAGTGTGGTGGCATGATCTCGGCTTACTGAAACCTCCACCTCTGGGGTTCAAGTGATTCTCCTGCCTCAGCCTCTGGAGGAGCTGGGACTACAAGTGCATGCCAGCACACCCCGTTAATTTTTTTGTATTTTTAGTAGAGACAGGGTTTCACCATGTTGGCCAGGCTGGTCTTGAACTCCTGACCTCAAGTCATCTGCCTGCCTTGGCCTCCCAAAGTGCTGGGATTACAGGTGTGAGCCACCATGCCTGGCCAATACCAAGACTTATGTATGTGGTCAAATACACATACAGAGCAACAAAAAGGTGTCCTAGAAAGATGTTATAGAAGAGTAACTTTACCTCCTTGTCCATAAGAATAATCACTTAAAAATCCTCTCCTCTTTTCCATGGCAGATGTATAAAATCTACAAAATCCTGGCTATATGTAAGCCTCAGAATCATGGTTACATTGTACAACCTACATCTGTGTATGATAAAAAGTCCAAAATGGTTAGAAAAGCCTGAATCTCTCCTTCAGTATTTACAACTCTCACCAAAGGTCACGCAGATAACACAGGTCAGGGAGAGCTGTGAGGGAGCCATTTCACTACTATTCAAATGAAAACACCTATCCATTTGTCCATTAACTGACGTTACTGACATCGGTCCATTAACCCATTCATTCACTCATTCAGTCACTCATTCAACAAATATTGAATGAACGTGTACTATGTGCCAAACCTATGAAAGGCAATAAGGATCAGCAATTTTGAAACAGGTAAAATTAGTGTTGGGCACAGTAGCGTACTCCTGTAGTCCCAGCCCAGGAGTTTGAGCTGCAGCAAGCTATGATTGTATCACTGCACTCTAGCCTAGGTGAAAAAGCCAGACCCCCATCTCTAAGAAAAGAAAAAGAAAAATGAAAAGAAAACAGGTAAAATTCTTACACTCATGAAGTTACACTCTAGTGGGGAAAGAGACCATAAAAAAGTAAACAAAATATAATACATGAATATGTCAGCTGGTGATTGACGATTAATCACAAAGTCAGGTGGAATAAAGAGATGGGTATTTAATTAAATGTATTTATTTATTTTATTTTTGAGAAGGGTCTTGTTCTGTCACCCAGGCTAGAGTGCAGTGGCACAATTCTAGCTCACTGCGAGCTAATTTTTTTATTTGTTGTAGAGGTGGGGTCTCACTGTGTTGTCCAGGCTAGTCTTAAACTCCTGGCCTCAAGTGATCCTCCCACCTTGGCTTCCCAAAGTGCTGAGATTACAGGGATGAGCCATCCCGCCCAGCCAAGGATAGGTGTTTTAAACAGGGTAGTCAAAGCAGGTTTCTGTGATGAGATGACATCTGACCAGACACAAAGGAGCCAAGAGGATGTATGAGGTAAGAACATCCCAGGCAGACAGAAGAGCAGGGCTTCAGGTAGAAAGAAATACATGTAGGCCAGGCACAGTGACTCATGCCTGTAATCCTAACACTTTGGGAGGCTAAGGTGGGAGGATTGCTTTAGCTCAGGAGTTTGAGGCCAGCCTGGTAACATAGTAAGACCTCATCTCTACCAAAAAAAATACATACATATATATATATAAAATACATGTATGTATTTTTAAAATTAACCTGGTTTAGTGGCATGTGCCTGTAGTCCCATTCCAGCTACTCAGGAGGCTGAGAAGATCGATAGAGCCCGGGAGGTCGAGGCTGCAGTGAACCATGATTGCACCACTGCACTTCAGCCTGGGCCACAGAATGAGACCCGTCTTTAAAAAAAAAAACAAAAAAAAACAAAAGCACACTTGGCATGTATAAGAAACACACAGCAGTCTTGTGTGGCTGGAAAGAAGTGAGCAAAAGGCAAAGGATAGGAAATAAATTCACAGGGAGAGGGTGGCCTGAAGGCTCACACAGATTTTGGAATTAATGAGTGAGATGGGAAGTCGCAGAAGGGTTTTGAGCCAAGGAACAACATGATCTGACTTACATGATCTGGCTGCTATGTGGAGAATGGCCTGGAGGGAGGTAGAAGGAAGAATGTCATGTGCAAGCTGCTGCAGTAAACCGGGGTGATGAATGCTGAGGGCTTGGGCCAGGCTGGTGGCTGAGGAGGTGGTGAGGAGGAGAGGACTGGGTTGTATCCCGAAAAGACTCAGAGCTGCATGGTTCTCACCTGAACAGCCATCTCCTTGGATTTCTGTCTCCATCAGCCAAAGCTTGTCTTCTCTTCCCAACTGTAGTATCACATCTAGTTTGAAGGGGTGATAGCCTGTGAAAAAGAAATGGCATATATATAAAGTGAATGCATTATAGTCAAAAATTTTAATTCCAACACTACCATTTTCATGTGCTCTAAGTAGTATTTTTCAAAATTGTGATCATGAGCTATTGTCTGAATACCTTTTAATTTGTGATCTGGTACAAAAATACATAAGTGTCAATCACTGAATCAAGTGATCAGATAATCTGATCCTAACCATTGTCTACTTTTATTACATCTTCTTTCCTATTTCTACTTACAGTTTTTGCTGCCCTGAGTGCAGTTCCTGACGATGAGCTATAATATTTCTACTTCATTTCATTAAACACAATAATAATGTAACTCACCAACTGATTTCAAAGCCCACCAAGATTTCACAACAGCAATTTGAGAAAAATAGACAAGGTATAGACAAAGTGTCCCTGGGGAATTAGGAAATTCACACCCCCAAGTTCAGAGAAACATTTTAAGCATCCCAAAGTCTTAAGTAATTGAAAGCCGGACAGTCCAGAGGGCTGACATTCAGTTACAGTTTGAGGTGCCTGTGCTCACCCACTGACAGCAGGTTCCTGAAGTTCTCCAGCATCACATCTTGGTACAGCTTTCTCTGGGCAAGGTCCAGCAACCCCAGCTCCTCCCTAGTGAAGACCACAGCCACATCCTTGAATGTCACCATCTCCTACAACATCAAGCAGATGTAATCTCAATCTCATGGCCAGTATCTACTGGGAGAGAGGCAGCACTGAGCAGGTAGAACAGGCAGGAAAATGTTCTGGATTGTGAAGGCCTCAAATCAACTTTAAGTAGCTTCCTCCTTTTCTCCATCCCACATGCCAGTCTCATAGACTACTTTTCCACAGTCACATCAAAAGTGTATGCTACTAAAAAATAACTCCTGTGTATTTAATTTGGTGACATTTATAAGTATTCCAACAGTAAATGCCCCAGCACTGTAAACCTTGAATCACACGGAATATGTATTTTATAACTTGACTGATACTACGGAATTGTCCTAGAAATGTTGGGTCAATTTAGTACCAACGCCGAAAAAGGTGTTTGCACATGCATGTTTATAGTAGCACAATTTGCAATTGCAAAAATGTGGAACCAACCCAAATGCCCATCAATCAATGAGTAGATAACGAAACTGTGTGGCCGGGCACAGTGGCTCACGCCTGTAATCCCAGCACTTTGGGAGACTGAGGCGGGTGAATCATGAGGTCAGGAGTTTGAGACCAGCCTGGCCAACATGGTGAAACCATCTCTACTAAAAATACAAAAAATTGGTGGCAAGTGCCTGCAATCCCAGCTACTCGGGAGGCTGAGGCAGGAGAATTGCTTGAACCTGGGAGGTGGAGGTTGCAGTGAGCCAGGATCACGCCACTGCACTCCAGCCCAGGCGACAATACAAGACTCCATCTCAAAAAAAAAAAAAAAAGGAAAAGAAACTGTGGTATATATCTATATATCTATATCTATATCTATATCTATATCTATATCTATATCTATATCTATATATGAGATAGAATACTACTCAGCCATAAAAAGGAATGAAGTAATGGCATTTGCAGCAAGCTGGATTATACTGGAGACTATTATTCTATATGAAGTAACTCAGGAATGGAAAACCAAACGTTGTATGTTCTCATAAGTGGGAGCTAAGCTATGAGGAGCCAAAGGTATAAGAATGACACAATGGACTTTAGGGCCTCAGGGGGAAAGGGTGAAAAGGTGGTGAGGGATAACAGACGATGCCTCTGGGGAGTAAGGAACTGACTTGAAAGAGACAGGAGGAACCTTTTTGGGGTAATATAAATGTCCTATATTTTGTTCTGAGTGGTGGGCTAATGCAATTATACAACTGTCAGAGTGGGATATACAACTGTTATTGACCTGACCACTTAAGATATATTAATTTTGTAAGTAAATATTGCATTTTTAAAGCCCCATGAAAAAGTATTGCAAATTGAAATAACATTTAGAGACACTACATTGTGTATGTTTGTTCATAGCCTCTGAAAAATTAGACAAAAAATGAAAACCCTTCTGAGACAAATACATAAACACTAAATCATACAAAACTCTAGTGATAACATTAACTGAAAAAAGAAAATTATATATAGAATGCGATTGTAGTTCTGTAAAATACACTGATAAGTATACATATAAGACATACAATATGTAAATACATATAAAATAGTATGGAGGAAATAGATGATTTGTATTTTAGTGCAGTAATGTGGACATTTTCTCCCATTTTTTGATACCTATGAATTTTTGCACTACTACTTATGAAATAAAGAAGATGAAATAAAACTACCAAAACTAAAAACAAAACAAAAGCTAAAGACATAAACGAAAAATTGAACCAATCGACAATCAAGTAACTAGCAGATCCCAAATACCTGTTTTCCTCCTTTATCTTTCTCAAGGAAGAGAAAAAAAAAGTGTCTAATCTTTGAGGGAAAGAGATGTCATTTTAAGAGATAAAAATCAAAACTCAACTCACCTGAAACTTGGTCATTTTCTCCTGCTCCTTCTAGGGAAGGGCAGGGTCCTGCGAAGGCAGAAGTGGGAAAAGAGAAAGAAGCCATGAGAAATAGGCCGTAGCCCACATGGCCGTTCTGGGTGAATTTTTAAAAGGTGGCCGGGCATGGTGGCTCACACCTGTAATCCCAGCACTTTGGGAGGCCGAGGCAGGCAGATTGCTTGACCTCAGGAGTTCGAGACTAGTCTGGGCAACCTGACAAAACCCCATCTCTACAAAAAATTACAAAAATTAGCCGGGTGTGGTGGCACACACCTGTAATCCCAGTTACTCTGGAGGCTGAAGTGGGAGGATGGCTCGAGCCTGGAAGATGGAGGTTGCAGTGAGCCAAGATGGTGCCACTGTACTCCAGCCTAGGCAATACAGCCAAACTTTGTCTCAAAAAAAAAGACCCTTTCTTCCACATATCACTAGCCCCTCAGCCAGGGGCCCTTCTGCAGTGAACAACCTGCCCGATTCTAAGTAGCAAGCCTAACATAATTAGAGTCCTTTGTAGTTTCCAGGGTTTTCATTCTCATACTGGATACTGTGGGAAATGAAAGGCAGCAGAATGTACTTGCTACAAAAGTGGATTCTAGGGTCACAAGGTCTGGGGTCAAATCCTGGCTTGGCTACTAACTCTTTAAGCTCATTAACCTCCGCATTCCTCAAATCTGTCACCTGCAAATGAGAAAAATAGTGCTTTCTTGCAAGATTATTATAAGGGTCTAATGTGTGAACAGATGAAATCTTACAAATGATTTCCCTGCAGTTGCACAAAAGCAGATGATATTATGCATCATAAAATTGTTGTTACAAATGTCTTTTGCCATCATTTCCAACAAAAGAGTCTTTTATAACATCCAGATTTCAAAGACTGTACAATGCTTTATCTTATGAAATTCACCTTTACCTCTGAAAAGTCTATTAATTCTGATTGGCTACATTACTTACTACTTTGTTGTCCTGTAATATTTGATATCAGCGTTCAGTTTTATAAAAGGCATAAATAGTTATGAATTTTCTTCATGTAGACAGGAGAGTCTCAGTGGTATAGCTCCCTTTCCCATGCTCACTGTCGTAAGGAAATACTAATTTAAAATGTGTCTCTGCTAGTTTTTTTTTTTTTTTTAATTTTAAATGAAAGTTTGACAGTATGTGTCTCACTTAAGTGAAAAATACTGTAGTACTAATGATAGATCCTAATCTACAGAATTGCTTTTGGGATTAAGTGAGCAAATCAAATAGTCTTGGCTAGGCTAATCCATAGAGACAAAAAGTAAATTCATAGTTGCCAGAGGCTGAGAGAGGAGATAGTAAAGAATGATGGCTAGGGAATAGGATGTTTCTTTTGGGGGTGATACAGATGTTCTTGAATTAGAAAATAGTGACGGTTGTACAACCTAACATTGTGAATACACTAAATGCCACCGAATTGTACACTTTAAAAGGGTGAATTATATGGTATATGAATTATGACTCAATTTTTTAAATAGGGAGGAAAAGCCTTGGTTCAGTGTCTGGCACATTATATAAGCTCTCAGTAGTGATGACATGATGACTGTTGTTCCCATTTAATGGATGAGGAAGCTGAGGATTACTGAGATTAAGTTACCCAAGGTCACAGAGCTGGTGAGGTGAGACTGCACCTAAATCCAGTTGAGTCCAGAGCCTGTCTCTTAATCGTGTCTCCTTCTCTAATCAGAAATATGAAAACATGGAAGGAGTCATGTCTTAGAGATCAGAGAAAGGGGAGTTGGAGGGTGTGAACTGCTGAAAATGATCTGCTGAGAGATACTGGAGCCAGATGATGAGGAACCTAATATCCTAATTGACTCTTCTGACGTACTAGCTCTTTGTGCCTGTTTCCTTGCCCATAAAGTGAGGACAACAACAGCATCTACTTCGTAGGGTTATTAAGAGGTTTCAGTGAGTATATACAAGATAGCGTTCAATACAGATAGCTACTCCCATTCACGGGTCCTCCTACTTCAGGCAGAAACACTCTAGTAGGGAAAAGAGCAATGTATTCTCTTCTCAAAGCTAGGGAGAGATCAATTCTTAACATCCAATTCCCTTTGTTCTGGTCCTATATTTCCCTGCACCCTCCTGCTCTGCTCAGTAACAGGATTTTGCAAGACTTGACATTTCACAGCATTTAGTAGAAAAAAGCAAATGGGGTCTGGAGTGCCTGGCTCAGCTCTGCTCACTATATGTACCAGGGCCACTTTTCTAGGCCTGAATTTCCAGACTTTGTTCATTCCTAGGTTGTCAAGTCCTCTAGTGCCTTTGCTCCTGCCACTCTGCCTCCAGAGAGGACCAGCTTCCCTGTCCTTCTCTTGTAATCCCTCCTCTTGGAAGCATTCTGAGTAGCTGGGGCATTTGGGGTATAATTAGTAAATCAAGCATCTGTTTTGCCTGTGAGGTAATGAACAATTACTCATCTTTTTATCCCAAGCACCTAGAGTATAGTGAATATTTGATGCACACGGAATCAAAGAATGACACACAGACAAGGATTGTACTAATTGCTCTCCAAGATTCCTTTGAGCTACAAAATTCTGAGGCTATTCCTAATTGGGAGGAGGAGAAGATGAACTTTATCTGTCAATTTCTTCTTGCTTTTTAATTTCATTTGCTTTGCTCAGTCAACATCAAGGTCATCCTTAAAAGTGAAATCATTAAGCCGGGCACAGTGGCTCATGCCTGTAATCCCAGCACTTTAGGAGGTTGAGGTGGGCGGATCACTTGAGGTCAGGAGTTCGAGACCAGCCTGGCCAACATGGTGAAACCCTGTCTCTCCTAAAAATATAAAAATTAGCCGGGCATGGTGGCAGGCACCTGTAATCCCAGCTACTCAGGAGGCTGAGGCAGGAGAATCGCTTGAGCCCGGGAGTGGGAGGTTGCAGTGAGCTGAGATCATGCCACTGCACTCCAGCCTGGGAGATAGAGGGAGACTCAATCTCAAAAAAAAAAAAAAAAAAAAGTGAAATCATTCATAAAAGGGTCAGTCATAGACTGTGGATAATGTAAACCCTATCTATTTATTTATTTTAATAGCAGTGTCAGGTATTTACTCAAATGTCATCTCCTCAGAGTTCTTCCCTGCAAATCCTTTAAAAATTTTTTCTTTATTACTCTTGAGCATTCCCCAGTCATTGCCTAAGCTGTGAAACCATTTCTTTTCCTCTTTTTATTTTTATTTTTAATTTTTTTGAGACACACTTTCATTCTCTTTTCCAGGCTGGAGTGCAGTGGCATGATCTTAGCTCACTGCAACCTCTGCCTCCTGGGCTCAAGCGATCCTCCTACCTCAGCCTCCCGAGTAGCTGGGACCACAGGTGTGCACCACCACATCCAGCTAATTTTTAAATTTTTTTGTAGAGATGGAGTCTCACTACGTTGCCCAGGCTGGTGTTGAACTCCTGGGCTCAAGCCACCCTCCCGCCTCAGCCTTCCAAAGTGTTGGGATTACAGGCATGAGCCACTGTACCCCCATGGGACTGACATTTCTCAGGGCTGAAGGAGAGTGTGGCACAAAGGTCAAGAACCCACTCTGCCTGAGCTCAAACTCCCAGTTCAGGCGCTTTCCTGTTGTTTTACTTTGGGAAGATAAATATTTTACCCATCAGTGTTGTCATCTGTAAAATAGGAATGATAATATTATCATTGTTATGAAGATTAAGCTAATTAATGCATGTAAAGCCTATAGAAGAGACCCTGGCACTCATTGTATTAACAATTATTACTCATTCATGAACACATGCCTAATCCAACCTCCCGTTTATTCCATAAATATTTGAGCTTTTGCCCAGCAGGAAAAATAATATTGCTAATGAGTGAAGGAAATCTGTTCTCCAACTGAGCAGAAATAGCAATAGCATATATTAAGTCCTCTCACGTTGAGACAATGTTACGAAGAGTCAGGGGGTCGACACCCTCCTCTCTGCAGCCCTCCGGTTTGTCAGGGCTGAGGAAGGAAAGGGGGTTGGAAGATACCCAAACTGTGTTTCTGGTCCAGGATGAATGACAGTGGACATTCCCAGGCACCACATGGAGGTGAGACACACTCATGCCTTAAAGGAGACGGAAAAATAAAAAAGATGGAGAGAAAACTGACGCCCCCCTCCCCCCGTTAGGAAGCCAGGAACAGCCCCGCGGAGTGCAAGGATCAGAGAAGGGTGAGTGGCGCTGCACCTGGAGCTCAGAACCCACCGCGGGCTCACAGAAACTTTCAGAGACTGAACGCCTCTCCTCTCCAGGAAGAAATAAGAGATTGGCAACAACCAGCCACCTTTTCAGTGTGTGCCAGGATCGGTCCTAAGCATTTTTACATCTATTTATCTTACGTAAATCTCACGAAACTCCTACCAGATAGGTACTACTATGAAATTCACTTTACAGAGGAGAAACGGAGAAATTATATGCCAAGATTATATTGCCAGAAGGTGGCAGAGCGTGTGGAAGCTGGGGAAAACCAGGGAACTTGAGCGCCCGGGACACCCTCAAACCAGACGTGCGACCAGGAGCCATTCCCAACTTGGAGACCCATGCACCGCCCTAAAAGCAAAGAGCAAGCAAAACATCGACCCCACCCTCTGTGGCTTCTCTTTATTGACGGTGAAGGCAGGCACCTGCGAGTCTCATGCCCAGGCCAGGAAAGCTCGCAGTAGATGCAGAGGTTCCGCGCTGACTCACCTCCCAGAGGGGATTGATGACGGCTGCCTGGCCCTCCTGCAGCGGAAGTGCACAAGGTTGCAACGACTCCTGCACTACACTTCCCAGAATGCCCGAGCGGAAACAGGCTACCGCCCCGCCCCGCCAAGCGGAAGTAGTCTTAGCTACCTAGTTCTCACGCACTACGCTTCCTAAAATCTTCCGTAAGGCAGACCTTGCCACTTTAAAAAATTTATTTATTTTTAACTATGTAAGTGGATTCAGTTAACTGTTCTCAGGGGCTATTAGTACTTGACCTTTATTTTTCTGTTCCTTCCCTATTCTGTTTTATTTCCTTTCTAAAGTGACACTACAACTAAGTGTGACTGGAAAGTTAAATGTGGCTGTTTCAGAGTGGAGAGGCAAAACAAAGAAAAAAGAAAATTAAAAAATGAAGTAAATGTGGCTGTATAGAGAGAAAGGTGAACAGAGAATCTCAAACTTTTTTTTATCTTACTGCATTCTTTACATGTGCCTGGATATATCTAGACAATGATATCATGAGCGATTCAAAGATGTTAAAGACTCACAAGAAGGAAAAGTAACCTTTGATCGGGTCACAGAACAACAAAATTTTCTCATTTTTGTTGGGTTTAATTGCTCACTTTGAAATACAAGGATTTTTGGCAAATGAACGGGGCTGGCAGGGAAGTGAAGGAAATATGCTAACAGTGAACTATCTAAAATAAGAAATCAAGAAACTATTCCATTTACAAACACTACAAAAAAATTATACCTAGGACTACACTTAATCAAGGAAGTGAAAGAACTCCAGGTTGATAACTATAAAACACTGATGAAAGAAATTGAAGACGACACACAAAAATGGAAAGATATTCCATATTTATGGATTGCAAGAATTAATGCAGTCAACCCTTGAACAACTCTGGGATTGGGACAGTCACCGCCATCACACAGTCAAAAATGCATCTATAGGCTGGTTTGGGTGCAGCAGTGTTACAACTGGTGATCACAACCAGTTCCAGATTTCTTTGTTCCTTCTTCACTCCAACTGCTTCACTTGACTAACCTTAAAAAAAAAAAAAAAGTTAAAAAGAATGCATGTAAAACTTTTGACTCCCCCCAAAAAAAGCTAATAGCCTACTATTAAACACAATCCTTATAGATAACATAAACAATTAAAACATATTTTGTATGTTCCATGTATTATATACTGTATTCTTACAATGAAATAAGCTAGAGAAAAGAAAATGTTACTAAGAAAATCAAGAGGAGCCAGGTGCAGTGGCTCATGCCTGTAATCCCAGCATTTTGGGTGGCCAAGGAGGGGCAGATCACGAGGTCAGCAGTTTGAGACCAGCCTGGCCAACATGGTGAAACCCTATCTCTACTAAAAATACAAAAATTACCTGGGCTTGGTGGCAATTGCTTGTAATCTCAGCTACTCCAGAGGCTGAGGCAGGAGAATTGCTTGAACCCGGGAGGTAGAGGTTGCAGTGAGCCAATATTGTGCCACTGCACTCCAGCCTGAGTGACAGAGCGAGACTCCATCTAAAAATAAAAAGAAAATCAAGAGAAAGAGAAAATACATTTACAGTACTGTACTGTATTGATACTGTAAGTTTACACCATCTGTTTAATAAACTGTCTTTCTGAAATGGCAGGCAACTGCAGCTTCAGACCTCAATTTACAACTTTTATAATGTCATGACTTTTCTATGCATCTTAGGAGCACTTCCAACATCACTAGTGGCAGTTCACATAGGTCCCATGGTATTATTCAAGATTTATGGTATTGCACTAAACACAATAAGAAATAAGAGGAAACCTTAAGATCACTTTTTACTGTAATATACAATTTACTGGAGAGATGAACATCTCATTTTGAGATGATTAGCATCACTTGGAATTTTAAGCAGATATTCACACATGAGCTCACCACAATAGTGATAGGAGATAGCTATTAAATTATTACAGAAGTGCAGCATGTACTACAGTTAACTTTATGCAGTTTTAATATTGCATCTTTGTTTTACATTTCTCTTCACTGTGAATGTACAGTCTGTGTTTGTGTAAGTTTTGATAAGTTTTACCTTTTTATAATAAATTCATATATATTTTATGGTAGTAAATGATAAAATAGACTGATATCTACATATATTTTATGCATTCATGATATACCTAAATTTTTCTTAATTGTTTGATATTTCTAGGCTACATGGCTTATCTGTGAGCTTTTTCACATGTAAGTGGACCCATGCAGTTTAAACCTGTGTTGTTCAAGGGCCAACGGTATTGTAATTTGCAAAAAAACACCTAAATTATATCTTGAAAATGCTTCTTCTCTTATTTCAACTTATATTTTTTTACATCCACTCAGCTTGCTCTTGAGATGATAAATGCAATAGAATGATCATCAACAGATCAAGTCAATGTGGAATCCAAAACGAAGTAATATATAACAGCCTTGTAAAAGCACGTGTATCAAGACTTCTTGAAGAGACTTTCTTTCCAATGTGGTTTTCTCTAGAAAGGAGAAAGTTGTTCTGTTTTATTTAAGTTATAGGGGGTGGGTATTGTGTATAGGGTGGGTAGGAAACTGTCTTCGATATTTTCTACTACAATTTTTTTAGCTCAGTCAGCAGAATTTTGTTATTTTAGTACCAAAGGAATTCTGAATCATGTTTTGTTTTCATCTCAAAGTATTTTCTAACGTCCCCGTAACTTCTATCCCCATTGGTTTTTATGAGTGTGCTGTTTAATTTCCACACATTTGTGAATTTTACAGTTTTTCTCATTACTGATTTCCCCGTTTCATTTTTTTGTGACCCGAGAACATTTCATATGACTTTATCTTTCTGTTGATACGTGATTTTTTAATATTTTTATTGAGACCTGTTTTGTGCCATAATGTATGATCTATCCCAGAAAATGTTTCATGACCACTTGAGAAAAATGTGTATTCTGCTGATTTTAGGTGGGGTGCTTTGTATATATCTGGTAGGAGTTTGGTTTATGTGTTTCCAAGTCCTCTAATTCTTTATTGATCTTTTGTCTGGTTGTTCTATCCATTATTGAAAGTGGTACACTGAAGTCTGAAAACATTGTAGAAATATGCATTTCTCCCTTCAGTTCCATCAATTTTCACATCATATATTTGGGGACTAGCTGTGTAATATCTGTATTGTTATATCTTCTTGATGCATTGACTCTTTTGTCAATATATAATGTCATCGTTTGTCTCTCGTCAAGTTTTTACCTAAAGTCTATTTTGTTTAATATTAATACAGTCACCTTAGTTCTCTTTTTTTACATCCTGCATGGAATAATTTTTTTCCATTTTTTCACTCAACATTATTTTTGTCTTTGGATTGCAAATAAGTCTCTTATAGACAGCATATAGTTGGATCATGCTGTTTTATCCATTCTGCCAACTTTTGCCTTTTAACTGGAGGGCTTAATTATTTGCATTTAAATTAATTCCTGATTTAGAAAAGGCTTGCTTCTTTCACTTTGTGATGTGTTTTCTACATGGCTTATCTTTTTTGTTCCTAGGTCTCTCGATTAATGCCTTCTTTTCTGTTTGATGTTTTTGTAGCGTACCTGTTTTGTTTTTGTTTCCATTTTGAGACAGGGTCTCACTGTCACCCAAGCTGGAGGGCAGTGGTGTGATCTCAGCTCACTGCAACCTCTGCCTCCTGAGTTCAAGTGATTCTCATGCCTCAGCCTCCCAAATAGTTGGGACTACAGGCATGCACCACCATACCCAGTTAATTTTTGTATTTTTAGTAAAGATGGGGTTTCACCATGTTGGGCAGGCTGGTCTCAAACTCCTGACCTAAAGTGATCCACTCACCTTGGCCTCCCAAAATGCTGGGATTACAGGCATAAATCACATGCCTGATCTGTAGTGTACCATTTAAATTTTCTTCTTATTCCCTTTTCTGCATATTTTATTTTCTTAGTGATTAACCTTGGAATACAGTTAACATCTTTTTTCTTTTTTGAAACGAGGTCTCATTCTGTCACCCAGGCTGTAGTACAATGGTGTGATCTTGACTCACTGCAGCCTTAAACTCCTGGGCTCAAGTGGTCCTCCAGCCTCAGACTCCTGCGTAGTTAAGACTACAGAAATGTGCCATCACACCCAGCTAATTAAAAAAAAAAAAAATTGTAGAGACAGGGTCTCTGTATGTTTCCCAGGCTGTTCTCAAACTCCTGGCCTCAAGCAATCCTCCTGCCTCACCCTCCCAAAGTGCTGGGATAATAGATGTGAGCCACCATAGCTGGCCTATTTTTCCAAATACTGCTGTGAAAAAATTTAAAGATGCAAAAGTGTTGAATAGTATTAATTCAAACTATATTGTAATACATTAAATAAGTTAATATAGTCTGAATTAATACTAACCTAGCTTCTACAGTATAAAATATCCTGCCCCCATATATCTGTCCTCCTCCCTTTAGGATTTGAAAAAATTACATCTTTATACATTGTGTGCCCCATTAACATAGATTTATAATTATTTTACTCATTTTTCTTTAAATCATATAGGATTTATGAGCCAATAATACAATAATATTGGCTTTTGTGTTTGCCTATGTAGTTACTTTACCAGTGTTCTTTATTCGTTTACATGGCTTCAAGATACTATTTACTGTCTTTTCACTTCTGCTTGAAGTATTTTGTATTTCTTGTAGGGCAGGCCAACTAGCAGTGAACTCCCTCAGTGTTTGTTTATCTAGGAATATCTTAATTTCTTCTTAATTTTTGAAGGATAGTTTTGCCAGATATAGGATTCTTGGCTAACAGGTTTTTTTTTTTTTCTTATTTTGTTACTTTAAATGTGTCATCATATTGGCTTCTGGAGATCATGATTTCTGATGAAAAGTGGGTTATTAATCTTATTATAGAGCCTTTGTACATGAGGAGTCACTTCCTTTTGCTGATTTTGAGCCTCTCTTTGTCTTTTTATGGTTTCATTATAATGTGTCTTGGTATGGATCTCTATGCATTTATTCCTCTTGGAGTTCCTTGAGCTTCTTATATGTGTAGACTCATGTTTTTATAA